TATACACTCTGTTAACTCTCCTTTTTTGGTATGAATATAGACTGGTTTCTTCCAAACTATTGCCATTGTGTCATTATCCAGATTTGCTGGAAGAGTTTGATTAGAACATTTACAGATTCTTCTTCAATTGCTGCCATAATTCAGCAAATATTCCATCAATTGCTGCAACCCTCTAACTTGGTTATGACTGAGTCTGATTTTAGTTCATCTTCAAAGATTAGATTCTTGAAAGTAAAGAAACTCTTCTAAGGTATCCTGGATGCCGGCATCTCTGTTGTACAGACTGTCAATATACTCCTTCCATCTTGGTTTGATCTTCTGGAATCAGTTACTATCTGTCCTTTGACACTTTTCAGCATACTAATTTGAGGTTGGAACCTTCTTCTGAACTTGGACATCTTTTTGGGAAAGTTTCTTTTTTTCATATCTATTTCCATCTTCCATGTCTTTACAAATGTCATTGTAATAGTGTTTCTTGTCTCTTCCAACAGATCTCTGAACAAATCTTTTAAAGTTCCTTTCTGAGATCTTTGCCATTCGTGGCTTTAGCTTTTCATTTCTTTCTTTCAATTTCTATTGTTTGTTTTGACAGCTTGCTTTCTATTGTTTGCTGGTGTTTAGCAATTTCTTTTCACATTCATCGTGAACATCTTATCTGATTTTATTCCATAGTTGTTCTGGTTTCTTATGAATAAGACTTAGGACTTTAAAATTACTGATGTTCCTGGAAAGGGTGGGTATATGCTCAAGATCCTATTGTGGAAATTGGTCAAAGACTTTCTTCTTTCACTTTAGTTTAACTTGAACTTTTCAAATGAAGAGTTCATGATTCATTCTAAAGTCACCCCCTGGTCCACATCCTTCTTATAACTGAGCCCTTTCACTTCTTATAATAATATTACAACCAATTTGCTTTCTCTGTATGCCATTGGGGATGTCCATGTATGCAGCCACTATTTTGTTGTTGGAAGTTTGTATTAACAATGAAGAAATAATTGGATTGGCAGAAATTAGTAAACTATTCTGCTTCATTTCAATTTCTTAGATGCAAGACCAATTACTGTATATTTTCTATCTTAATATTTTTTCCCTTATTTCTCTTCACATATATTTTGTAAATCATTATTCATTTTGTTACATTTATTTATTGACAAGCATTCCACTAAGTTACGATAATTATTTTATCAAACATTTTAATCATACATTGTTTCATATTTTCTGAAATTATTTCTATTTCTAATATAACATAATATAACTATAACTAATATAACTATCTTATGTACCTTTGCAGAATCCCTTTTTCCATTAGATTTTCACCCATTATCTCTAAATAAGTCCTGTTTCTCTATATTTTGTTTCTGTCCTTTATAACTTCTTTTCCTTTCTTTCTTCCCTCTCTTCTTCTCCCTCCCCTTTTTACCCCCTTGTCTCTCTACTTCAAATTCTCTCTTCTGCATTTCCCTCTTCTGTTGCTTTCTGATTTTATACTTATTTTTCACTCTATTCTTTTTTGGGGGTTGTTTTTCCCAATCTTAAACTTTCCATTCTCTTTCCCCCCTTTCCTTTTTTCCCCCCCACCTAAGATTACTTGTTCATTAAAGATGGCTTCTTCTTTGTCCCAATCTTCTTGTTCTACAGGCATTTCTTGTTGTTTCTCATAATTCCAAATCTCCATTTCTAAGAACTGAAATACGAAGCCAAAAGAACCTCTCCCTTCTTGTGCATCTTCTTTGAACCTTTTAAGTTCCATTTTCAGTTCTTCCAAAATTGGAGCCATTTTAAACAGTTTTAAACAGCCACCTGATTAATTTTAGTCATTCAAATGCAATAACCAAGAATCCAGAGATCACCAAGTAATCCAAATAGTCCCAAGCTGTTTCTTCTTATTTCTTTTTTCACTTTCTCTTCCTGGGGTTTTACTATTTTGTTGCGATGTTTCAGTTAAGATGTATCTTTTGGAAGTCTTGTTGAGATTTTGCTGTAAGTTCTTTTTAATTCCAGGCAGTCTCCTCCCTTCTAGATCCTGCCCTTTTATTCTTTTTCTCTCCTTTCCTGTTTTCAAAAGCTTTTAATTATCCAGAAATCTTTATTATCCCTTTGACTTTTTATTCTCAGCATTAAATGCCTATTAATGTCAAAGTGGATTTTTTTTTCCAATTTCTTGCTTAAGTCTCTTAGCTGTCAGTATAGGAAGAGGAGAAAAAAACCCAAATCCTTTCCCTTTTCTCTCTTCTTCGCAGCTTAGAAATCTTCTTTGGGAACAATGTTATTGTTTTTTTTAATAGTTTCAATTCCAGGGTACCTTATTTGTTGCTTTTGCTGTTTGACCTGGTCAACCAAAACTTTCTCTTCTTATCTTCCTCCTGCACATTCTTTTCTGGTCGAGTTCTTCTTTGTGGTGGTCATTTCTGACCACCGCTACAACCACCTTTGGGAAAGGGAGTAGTGGCCAGCTGGGGAGGAGAGATGCGGCTCTCCTCAACCCTGCAGGCAGTCTTCCCCTTCTTCACCACCTCTATGGGGTGGCTTAGCTCTGAAACCAGCCAGCTTGGGGCGCTCCAGCGGCGAGCATGGATCGAAACCGCGCAGAGTTGCGGTTTCAGTCTGTCGCCGAAGAAGCTGAAACCGGAAGTCAGTTTTGTATTTTTAAGGCAGATCTGCTAAGCAAGACATTTCTTCTTCCAAGTGAAGAAACTTTTGTTTAAAGAAGTAATTAATTTTTAAGGGTTAGATTAGCATAGAAAGTATTAATTTTAACTACAACTAACATGCTCAGATAAATTTCAAAGACTATTCAATTCATAGATTTATTTAGAACATAGAACATCATCAGAATTAGAAGGGACCTTGGAGGTTTTCTAGACCAACCCCCTGCTCTATCAGAAGAACCTATACCATTTCAGACAAATGGCTGTAGTCTCTTTGTAAAAGCCTCCAATGATGGAGCACCTACAACTTCTGAAGGTGAGTTGTTCCACTGGTGTTCTGTCAGGTTGCTTCTCTCCTTGGTTAGTTCCCATCCATTGCTTCTTGTTTTGCCTTCTGGTGCTTTGGAAAATAAGCTGACCCTCTCTTCTTTGTGTCAGCCCCTCAAATATTAGAACACTGCTATCATATCCCCCCCCATCCTTCTTTTCGCTAGGCTAGACATACCCAATTCCTGCAGTCAGCCTCTACCACCCTAATCATCTTTGCTGCTCTTCTCTGCACTCTTTCCAGAGCCTCAACATCTTTTTTTATATCATGGTGACCAAAAATTGGATGCAGTATTCTAAGTGTGATTTAACCAAGGCTTTATAAAGTGGTACTAACAGTTCATATCATCTTAATTCTATCCCCCTGTTAATGCAGCCTAGGATTGCATTGGCTTTTTTGGTGGCAGCAGCACACTAGATAGAACCTGAGATGATGTTCTGGAAGGTTAATAAAGCACATTATCCATATTATCTAACCGTGAGTGTGAGAAAATATTTTGAAGGGGCTTGAACAGGCAGTGGCATGAATTCCTTTCCTTCCGTCCTCAATTTCATATTTTCCCCCTTCTGTTTAATCATGTCTTTTGGAAGAATTATCCTTCTGGTTCAGTTCCAAGTGGGGAAAAAGTCACTGGAACATGGAAGCTGTTTGGAAGGATGGTTTAATGGTGGACAGGACCACATGGCTTGGCGCTCCAAAGTGAAAAGGACGATCACAGGCTTCAAGATGTTGGGTGAAGGAAAAGAAGGGCTGAGATGCTGAGAGATCCTTAGTTTTACACCCTCTGTTGGGCCCCACCTTAGAGTTACCTGTTCCTGTGTAAGAAATGTATCTCATTGGCTATCAGACTCCCAGGGGCGGGGGCCTTAGCTAACTTTGTAGACTTTGTCTGGACCACATGGCTTCACCTGAGTGCTGGTTGATGCAATCTTCCCAGGCCATGTGGTGAGATGGGTAGAGGGCTTTGTTATGTAGAATACTCTGGCCTAAGCCTTAATGGCCTGCCCGTTAACAAAGGTGAGGGTGAGTTTCTGCTTCTGAGTTTCTACTTCTCTTTTTAGGGGAAATATTCTGCCATTTTAGTATATCCTAAAATATTTCATTTTCCTAGGAGAGTTGTGGGTTTTAACTTCCAACAGTCTGATTCTAAGATACTGCCTAGACAGGTTCCCACACCTCTTTTCTTGGCAAGATTTTTCAGTTATGTTTTGCCATTGCCTCCTTTCTAAGACTGAAGCAAAGTGCCTGGTCCAAGGTCACCAAGCTGGCTTTATGCTAAGGTGAGACTAGAACTCATATTTTCTAGTTTGATGTCTTAAGCCAGGGGTCTTCAAGCTTGACAGCTTTAAGACTTGTGGACTTCAACTCCCAGAATTCTAATTCCAGTTATGTTAGCTCAGGAATTCTGGGAGTTGAAGTCCACAAGTCTTAAACTTGCCAAGTTTGAAGACCCTTGTCTTAAGCCCTACATCAAACTGACTAAGTTTCAGGCACAACATACAGAAACATTGGAAGCAAAAGTTGGTCAGAACAGGGATAATGGCCAGTAAGGATGTGGGAGTTGGAAACTTCACTAATTTCTGCCCATGTTTGTCCCCCAATACTGAGGTCATTTCAACTCTTTTTCTTAACTTTTCAAAGGGATTTTCACCTGGAAACGTGTTCTAATTTTTCATGACCTGGATCGCGCGCGCGTGTGTGTTCTGATTTAGTCGCCATCCAACTCTGAGTGACACCAAAGTATCTGCCTCACCTTGGCTAAAAAGCAAAGGAAACCCTTCTCTAACTAAGCAGCAACCTGCTTACAGCTCTTTTCTCCCCTCTCCCCCCCCCAGTGTTATTCCATCTTCCTATTGGCCAGTTACTACGCGCGATTCCGCCGTCAAGCATTCAACAGCCAATGAACCCAGGTCGCCTGTACCAAAATGCAAGTAGAAACAGAACGAAGAGTGGAGAGGGAGATAGACTTGCTGCTTATTGGTTGCGAGGGTAATGCCAGCTGGGTTCGGATTGGCTACGTGAACGAACCGCTCGACCGGGTGAGGAGATCGGAAACTAGGCGAGGGAAAGCCTCTTAGTAGCGGGGAGCCGTTCGTGACTGGAAGGATCCCATTCGCTGCTTTGGGCGGGAGAGACCCTTCGTTAGAGTCGAGGCTTTGACGAGTTCTCTTTCCCCTGCTTCGCCCCGGTAAGTAGGAGGAGATTGCAGAAAATATCCGGGAAGGAGGCTCTTTGCTTGATCTCCCCTTCCCCGAGGGATGTTGACACGTGAGCGTCACATCACCTGCGGAGCCTTTCTCACCGTGTTTAGATGCACGTCGGGTAGGGTACCTGATGGTCCATTGCCGCTTTTAACCCGTGGGAATTTCAGGATATTTGGGCTGAAAAGTCAGGGGGAGTCGGACCGCAGTGAAGACAAAACGGTGACATCCCCTTTTCCCATCGGAAGAGGAGACTTTGTTAGGCTAACGGGTGGGATCTGAGAGAGCTTTTGGGGACCACCAAATTTGATTAAAAGTGTAAGCTGCCCTGAGCGTGCATCTCATTTTATGAATTGCATAAAAGGAGCAAACTGTTGTACGATTTAAATTGAGATCTCTGGGGATGGGGAGGGAGACAGGTCAGTGATGCTGATGTGTTACCAAATTCCTGGGAGTTTTTTTTGTGTGTGTCAGTGGTTAGGTCTGAAAGAGTTGGGAAAGTGGGAAGAGTTGTTTTAATTTAACGGAATTATTTGAACGAGTGCTTAGCTTTTGACTTGCATCCTGCCTTTTGATTAAACTGAATGATCTATGTAATATAAACAACAAAAATACAACATACAAAACAAGCATTTAAGATGTATAATTTAAAGACCTGTGCTAACATTTTCAACACTGTTAAAATGAAATATACTTTGGCTGTTTTGCAAAGGCAAAAAGAGTAGGGGCTAAAAAGCAACACAACCCAGGAACAAATTTAATAGTTCTATCCCCATATATTATCTATTAGGCACAGTGCTTAACAGACTATGACATTTTGGGAATTTATGAAAATATTTGAAGTTAAAAAATAGAACGTACAAAGTTACCAGTAAACTTAAAATGTGTATATCCTAAAAGTCAGATGGAAAGTCAATTTGGGGTAGTTGTTAAGGCAGTGGCCCCCAACCTTTTTTGAACCAGGGACCGGTTTCACGATTATTTATTCTTCCACGGACCGGTACCTGAGTAACGCGAGACTCCACCGCCATCGGGATGGCTCTTTGTTCGAAGCCGCCCCCCCCTTCAACGAAACTAAGGCTCGAGCACCCAAACGCCGCTTTCCAACTGAAAACCCGGAAGCAACCAAAAACCCGGAAGCGCCGTCGAAACAAGATGGCAGCGCCCAAACTTTGCGGCCCGGTAAAAAATGATCCACGGACCGGTAACAGTCCGAGGACTGGTAGTTGGGGACCCCTGTGTTAAGGCATCTGGGTAGAAACCAGGAGACTGAGTTCTGTTTCTACCTTAGGTGTAAAGCCATTGATTTGGGGACAGTCATTGTCTCTCAGCCCTAGGAAGGGGGCAATGACACCTTCAAAACCATTCTTGACATTGTGCCAAGAAACATTGTGCAGGGACTTGTTCAGGCAGTCACCAGGACTCGATTGGAAGACAAAATCAATCAACCAATCAATATTAAATAATAAATAATTCATCATAGTATTGTTACTTCTCTATTAAATATGAAATTTAATACTTTCTGCTTTAATTGTACAGTAATTGGTTTAGAAAATTCTATTAATAATAGTTTGAAGGTAAAAATACTAAAAATAGCTTACCTGTTTTTTTTAAATAGTCACAGAAATTTGACATTCAATTATACAAAGGTTAAAAATAATTAATTTGAATTGAATAACTGCCAAAATATTGTCATTGTCAGAAGTCTGGGGCATTTTATTAAGGAAGTGCCTCTGTTTGGTTTAAATCTTGGGATATTTTTTTTTTTGCAGTTTGGAGACAAGTTGATTTATCTTGATTTTAATGCCAAACAGGAAAAGAAATCAATCTCAGGTGATTTTATTTTTAAATTGTTTTTTCCCATTATAGGTTACAAAAAAATGGAAGATATCTCTGGTATAGATTCTTTGGCTACAAGGCTAAAAAATACAATGATTCAGTACTATAATATTGAGGACGATGAATGGAGAGTTGCTAGGAAAACAGTAAGTTATTGAGCAGGTTTTCTTTAATAAGACATCAATGTAAACATTTATATTCTATTAAATTGTGTTGGTGACCATATTTGCTGTGCTAGTTTTAGAAAAATAGAATACAATACGATGATTCTTAGTTTCCAAAAAAATAGAAATGACCAACCAAATCTTTGGAGAAGATGTGTTGCTACTATCTGATAGTGATAGATTATAGATTATATTGTTTTTACATAAGTGCTATTAACTTTCTCTGTCAGCAGTAGTCTTAAATGTATAAAATGTACTTAGTTTTTAAGTTGGATCAGTTTAAATATATTATTTCACATTTAAGTAATGTCTATAAATATAACAATTTAAGGGTGGTACATGGGTATCAATGAATGAAGATGGATATGCAAAATAGTAATTATTGTATATATTCTCTGTTATTTTTTAAAATAATGTTTCTGTATCCAGGAAGTTTTTAAGGTTTGCCTGTATATGAAAAGTTCCTTCTTATAAGATCCCTGTAGTCTGAAATACACTTTTTAAAACATCTTAATTATATTCCACATTCTTAGATATGAGTGACTGAATGGTTTAATAACATATCAATAGTGTGATCCTTCATTTTTTTTCTGCAGAAAGATGTTACAGTTTGGCGTAAGCCATCAGAAGAATTCAGTGGGTACCTGTAAGTTGAACTTTAATTAAAATATTTGTATAAGATTAAACTACATGTGCATGTATGTGTGCTGTCTTAATCAAAATAAATAATAAGATCTGCAGTATTAGAGTAAAAGTAAAAATTGGGCATCCACAAGTACATTATTATCAGAATTATGATGTTTACCATATCACAAAACCGTCTTAGGAAGATGAGAATTGCACTGAAATAGTCCGGGGTGACAGAATCTTGCAAATCAGCCTGTGTTTTCTTTTCCCTCTTATACTCCAGAGATTCAGGAAGCTGGCCCAGTGTTTTTCTAAGATTTTTCTGTCTCCTTGGACTTAACACATGCTTCCTCGTTGTCTGGCTTTGGGGTGTGTTCTCTAAGATGCTCTCCATAGCTCTTTACAATTATTTACTTGTATATCATAATTATAACATTGGATCCTAATCTCAAATGCCTCAATTAGCCATGTTTGAAGCATGTAAACTATATATTTTTGTTCAAGTGAAGGTAAATACACCTTCAGATCAGAGGTGGTATTCAGCCAGTTCTGATAGGTTCTGGAGAACCAGTAGCTGAAATTTTGAGGAGTTCAGAGAACCGGTAAATACCACCTCTGACTGGCCTTGCCCCCATCTATTCTCTGCCTCCTGAGTCCCAGCTGATTGGCTGGGTTTTCTTTTGTTGCCCTGCACAGAAGAACAGAGTTGGAAATAAGGTTAGTGGGGTGGGGAGGGAATGAGGATTTTGCAGTATCCTTCTCCTGAAGTGGGGTGGTAATGGGGATTTTACAGTATCCTTCCCCTGCCATCCCCACCAAGCTACACCACACCAGGCCCACCAAGCCATGCCCACAGAACCGGTTGTAAAAATTTTTGAATACCACCACTGCTTCCGATTGGTTTTTCTGGTAAGTGTAATATACTGAATTATATGACACAGTATTATTATGATGTATTATATGACACAGTATGACACAGTATGACACAGTATGATGTATTATATGACACAGTATGATTATCCAATCCTGAGGAACCAGTAATTTTATAAGCATAACTTCACCCCTTCAAATGGAATTTGTGCATAAACACTTGGAAGAGTTAGACCAGGAGTGTCAAACTCAATTTCATTGAGGGTACATCAGGGTTGTGTTTGACCTTGGGAGGCTGGGGTGGGCGTGGCCAGGGTGGGTGTGACTAACTGGATGTAACTCATGTCTGGGGCGCCTATAGTGGCTCAAGTGCTCTGCCAGTGAAAATGGGCTCCAAAGCTCAGTTTCGGCTGCGACAGCCTCCTGCAACACTCTGCCAGTGAAAACGGAGCTCAAGAGGACCCTATGCAGCCCTCCCAAGTTCTGTTTTCGCTGGCAGAGGCACTGTGGGCCAGTCCTCCACTGTTTCCAGAGCACCCAGGTGGGCCAGATCTAAGCACCTACAGCCAGATCCGGCCCCTGGGCCTTGAATTTGACACTTCTGAGTTAGACAATTACTACAGAGGTTTATTGGTTTTTCAACTACTTCTAAAGACTTCTACGAATATCCTAATTTTAAGCTTTAACAGTTTTCAACCCTCTTCTATTAAATCTGGTCTTTAGCTATAAAACAGAAGGTATTGTGGAAGATGTTACCAATAGAATAATAGATCACATACGTCCTGGACCTTACCGGATCAGCTGGGATAGCCTGATGACATCAATGGATATTGTTGAAAAATATGAAGAGGTAATGCATGGGCTATATTTCATGCACTTAGCACATTTCGGGTTTTCATTTATAGATCATAGCTGTCAGGGTTCTGATTAACAAATGTAAGATGAATTATGTTTCAGTCAGTATGAAATTACTTTGTGTATATGCTATAAGTGACATTCTTACTTATTCCCGAGTTGGGGACCTCAGTAGA